CTTATTCTCTAGAAACAAAGTGTAAAATCTTCGATCTCTCGGAAATATCGATGGGTTTAGAGAGATCGAAATAGTCGTCGAGGCCTCGAAACTCAACATTAGATAGGCGACTGACCTCGAGCCCTCGAAGATTCCGATCGGTTTCGATGGTTCGAAAAACTGTAGAGGGTTGGAAATTTAAGTTTCGATGGGCTAGTCATTTCGAGGGATTGTAATTCCGATGGGGCGCGTCCCCTCGAAAAATATTTCGATCTCTCGGGTAGGGATATTCGGGAACTTACGATCCCTCGCCGTACCTATCGAATGAGTTATTTTATCTGCTTGGGATAGTCTGCACTCTACGTTAAGGAAATATGAAGTGTATTGTACATAACGGACACCGACTTTTTTTGCATATCACATTTAAAATAAAAATAACAAAAACACGTATCTTCAATCACACACGTATCTATAGACACATAGTATACTATTTATGTTATAAACAGAATGTGGACTATCTATTTGTATAAGAAATATAAATTCTCACTTTGAAATAAGAGAAAAAGAATTCTTTTGCGTTCTAGCAGATCACGAGTGTACAGCGATCGCGCTGCGACTTCGCGACACCATAGCGATCGCGCCGCGAATTTCAGTTCGCTTCGCGAGTCTCACAAGATACTTTTTTAAAAAAATACGATTTCACCGCGATCGCGCCGCGACAACACGACTTTATAGCGATCTCTCCGCGACAAGCGCGAGATAACAGCGATCGCTAGCGCGACGTCGCGAGTTAGTCGCGACCGTTGACCTAGGTAGGTTGTACTGAAATAAGATCAAACGTTGTCAGGAGTCTAACAGAGAAGGGTTGTTTACAAAATTTTCTTCCAAGTATTTTTTTCAAACACTTCGCAGCATACATTAACAGATTGAGAATTTTGTGGAGAATCCAAGAGCATATTCCAAATTTCGGTAGAGCTCTTATTTCAAAAATGATTTATCAAATTTGGTTTTAAGTCGTGAACATCAAATCAAAAAATTAAAATTTGACGGGTATTTCGATTTCTGGCATGTTTCTCAATGGTCTCATGGCAGCTGTCTTAGTCAATCTGTTTTAATTAATTCAACAATTAATTTAAAAATATCATTTAAAACTTTTACATTTGAATTTTGGATTTATCCGTTTTCATTATCATCTGCTGATCGATGTATGATAGATCGGTCAATGTCAATCACTAATAATAAATAAATGTTTACACATGACATTAAGAAATAATAAACTTTCAATTAGTTTCTTTGATAATCCATGTGATGGTTTAGCAACAATAATTCTTAATACATGGTATCAGTTAACATTCATCTATGATTTTCAGACAAGTACACAAATGATTTATATAAATAGCATTCTTGATTGTACTCAGACATCATCCCCACCTTTACAAATAACAAACTCTACTACTATATCAATAGGTGTTACTTATCCATTAAGTCCATTTTATTTTGATAGTCTTATTGATCAAGTATCATTAGCTGAATGGGCGAAAAATACCGCTGAAATTCTAAACTAAGCAACACTTGCTGCTTGGTATTGTTTTGATAATAATTTATTTAAAGATTCTGGACCAAATGGGATAAATGGAATTGGTATTAATACAACATTTAATAATAATTCGCTTTTGTTAAATAAAAAAACAAAATCATATTTCCAATCATCTGCTTTTGTTCTTCTTAGAACAGATAATCATTCATCTTCTTTTTCAATCTGGGTAAATCCTTTTCAAACAAATAATACCACTATTTTACATGCTTATCAAAATAGCTGAAGTAGTGACAAATGGTGTCTATCAAATTTAATTCTCACCGTAGGACTGAAGCACAAAGTCGATCACAAGTGGAGAATTAATAAATGTATTAGGTCCATTTATTTCAAGTGATGTTTGGACACATATTGTTCAAACATATTCTCCAAGTAACGGTGTTAGTCTTTATATAAATGGATTTTTATTCAATAAATCCTCACTATGTGATAATCGTAGTGGTTATACACCATTAATTATCACATTAGGTAGTTCTCTTGATAAGGTAAATGAAGCATGTTTGAATGCATCAATTTAAGGAGAACAGTATTTGGGATGGATGGATGAACTTCGTAATTTATTCAAGAGAACTAACATCCAACGATGTGCAAACATTGTCAATAAGATTATTTTATTTTATATTGAACATACCAAATTAAATTCGATGTTGATTACTGTTTCTTCTATAATAAAGTTTAAATCAAATTCGATGTTGTCTATATACATTCTTATACTCTTCTTATATATTATTTCAATCAAAATTTTATTAATCTTAATGTAAATGACTGAATAAAATTTTGACTGATAATCGCATCGTTTCTTACAGAGATGCGTGGCGCAGCTGAAAAGTCATCTCGCCACCGTCTTAACCCGCCTCGTCAAAATAGTGCGTTGAGAGGCGACTTTTTAAAGGTACTTCCATGGGGTCTCAATCACGTTGTACAAAATTGACCACCGATATTGATGAAATTGTTAGTGCTTGTAGAGCTTTTAATTCTAAGCATTTTGGCAAAAAAAGTTTTTGAAACGCTATTGTTTTGACGGAGATAGACTCGAAATACTTTAACCAGTGAATTCAGAATAAAATTTGTGAGACTACTTGTATTTTGGAGATCAGTAAATTAATACACTAATGTACCGTCCGATGTCGACGACTCATTCTTTTATTTCTAATTTGCATGAAAAAGTTTTAATTTTCAGAGTGAATCTTCTGTACTGCCTATTAATTAGAAGATGCGTCTACTCATTTGAGCCACAAATGTCTCTCATATTTTCGCAAAGTTTTTCATACATTTTCGAGAGAAATTAAAAATAGTGCAAAAAACAGCGCGATCCTTCTAAGATGTTTTCTGTATATTTGTTTGATCTAGCCACTATCTTAGATGAGATTCTGGAAGTTTCAGCTGAAACAAATAGACAGATCTTTCGACCAGAAAATGACAGATGGCGCTTCCTATCAGATACGAATTATAAAAAAATTTATCGTTTTTTAAAATCGTTTTAACAATACAAATCTTCACTGTATTCATTTTTTGAAAATTCATCTTGTATTGTAATTTGAATTAGACATTTACTCCGATAAATAGAAAAAGAAATGAGACCCTCTAACAGCGATTCTATAGCGACTAATATGTCCTTGTGCACGTGTTTATCAGGAATATATTTTACACGACGCTTTTCATACATACGTACTTCATGTTGTCATTGTTCGTCTCTCCTTCTCTCTATTCATTGTCTTTCACCCTACAAAATGATATGAGTAATCATTCATTCGTATTTGTGTCTTGTGATCCATTACACGTCGGTATACATGAAAATTGCGTCTATAACCGACGAGCATGCTCCGTGGAAGCAGCGTTATCGCTTGCACAAAAGTCGAGGACGCCTCGCACGATTCAATCATCAGCGCGGTTTGGTTATAAGCAATCGAACAGGTATTTATCAGTTATATGCATGGAACGTGCCGGATGGAAAACTACGTCAACTCACTCAACATTCATCCGGAAAAGGAAAAGGCGAAATCTCGAGCGACGGACGTTATATATATTATCTAAACGATACTCAGGGCGATGAAATTGGTCATTTTGTTCGTGTCGATATTGACACAGGCGAACAAGTAGATTTGACCCCCGACGCCGAACCTTACTCAGTATTAGGCATTCAAACGGATTGTATCGGCAAAACAATATGCTATTTAACCGCCGATAATGAGAAGGGCCTTCAATTGTTTACACAGTCAGTGATGACTACTACTATTGATAGGCCTAATCTCATCTATCAGACGTCGAATTACACAGTCAATCCCGTCTTGTCTTATAGTGGTGAACTAGTTGTCATAGAAACAATGGATATCAAAAAAGGTACTGGAAGCAAGCTGCTCGTGTTCGACACTGTAAATGGTGGACAACATATCGGTACACTTGATGATGGTATAGATGTGAACGTCATGCCAAAGCAATTTGCACCATTGCCCAATGATGCACGTCTTTTAGCAAAAAGTAATCGTAATGGAGTTAGCCGACCGTTAATCTGGAATGTGCGCACGAACGAACGAGTCGATTTTGTACTTGACCAATTGAGCATTGAAGGCGATGTTGAACCACTAGACTGGTCACACAACAGTAATTTTATTCTTTTGTTACATATTCACAATGCGACCTTTCAGCTGTATTGTTATTGCGTTATCGATGAAAACTTGAAAAAACTCGCAGAACATCCATCAGGCACAATATTTGATGCACAATTCGGTCCCAATGGGTCGATCTTTGTTGAGTGGGAAAATGCAGATACGCCGCGACAAGTAATCGCATTGAATGGTAAAAGCGGAGCACTCGAACTGGTCATGCTTGGATCATTAAAGCACGAAGTCCCACAGAGTCATCCGTGGCGTTCGATCACATTTCCATCGTCCGATGGGCAGCTTATTCAAGGATGGCTCATTTTGCCTAACACTACTAGCAACGGGCCGTTTCCTACCATTATCGAAATGCACGGTGGCCCTCTAGATGTTACAAGCGAAAAGTTCGATCCGGAGACTGAAGCATGGCTCGACCATGGCTTTGCACATCTCTCGATTAACTATCGTGGTTCAATGACATTCGGACGTGCATTTCAACATAAGATCTATTCTGATATTGGACATTGGGAAATAGAAGATGTGGTAGCTGCTCGTACGTGGCTTATTGAACAGAGCATTGCCCAGTCAAATGCTATTTTTCTCACTGGCTGGTCCTATGGTGGTTATCTCACACTCTTAGCTTTAGGCAAACGACCTAACCTGTGGGCTGGTGGAGTAGCTGGTATTGCGATCGCCGATTGGACTATGCTATACGAAGATTCTGCCGAATCGCTCAGAGGTTATGCAACGACATTGTTTGGCGGTACACCCAGAGAAAAGCCCGAGTTATATGCAACGGCCTCACCTATTACGTATGTCGAACAGATCATCGCACCTGTGCTCATCATTCAAGCTAGTAACGATACACGTTGCCCTGTGCGTCAAATGAAACATTATGAAGCCAAAATGTCTCAGTTCAATAAGGACTTTAAAATCGAGTGGTTTGATGGAGGACATGCCTTAAACAATACGGAACAATCGATTTCGCATGTAGAAAGGATCTTATACTGGGCACATTGTGTGCTTGACAAGACAACGCAAAAGAAAATTTAACATTTGTTTGTTTTCAAATACATTTTCCTCAAAAGAGCCTGTAGCTATATTCTGCTAGAAATTAATTTTAGAAAAAACGTAATCACAGCCGATAACAATGATGATCGAGAGCGGATTCGTGTTTTACTAGTAGCATATGATCCATGACAGAAAGTATAATGGGTGCCCCAGAAGTTCTGCTGCAATTTGAATAATAAATTTTTCTATAGCGAAACAAGTGGTTGTAAATTTGTCTCTATGAAGAAAAGACGCAGTAAAACACGCTCTATAAAATGACTATTGATTGATCTGCTAGCTCATCTGGTACGAAAGTTATAAGCTTAGAAACGTTTCTCATATAACGGATGTACCATAAATAATGTCTCTCGGTATTTTTGCTCTAACTCCTGTTCCTTAGGTCTCCTGGACTGTATTCTTTTTTGAACAGAAGCGCCGTGAAATTCTCTGCAAAATCATACCTAAACTTTAATGTCAGAACTTAATCAGGAAAACTAAGCAAATTATACGCAAGGTGAAAAAATGAAAACTTTGTAAATTTGGTATTTTTTTCGACTTCAACTTTTTCTTTTACTATTATTTCCGTGAAAAAGCATAGCAAAAGTGAGAACTCAGTTTTCTTCTGGTCGAGCGAGAACTCAACTCTTTCTTGTGGTCTGTAAAAGAATTTTTTTAGAGCAGAATGTGTGCTTGAGAACGAAGTTTCAAAAATACGAAGTTTCAAAAAAATACCAAATTTACAAAGTTTTCATTTTTTTCACCTTGCGTATAATTTGCTTAGTTTTCCTGATTAAGT